TGTGGTTTACTTTTTGGGCATGAAAAGCTGGTTCATTTAAACAAGCTGGTTCCTCTAAGCTTCCAGTTTTCTCTTTTGATTTTATATTGGAGTGGCTGGATTGCTTTAGTCTTCAGGGGTTCCCACACAGGTCCAAGTCAGATGAGGATCAGGTGCTCTCAGGCTTTCTCCTAAGGTCTGGATCCCTCCATGAAAAGATTTTGACATCAGGAATTTGGGGGTTGGACTGGCCTGGCAGCTGGACTCAGGAAAGATGCTGGTCTAGGGCAGCTAGTGGCCTGCCACCCAGAGATGCAAAGGAAGATCAGGGTAGAAAGCTGCCCCAAGGGCCCCTGGTGACTGTACTGATGTGCTGGGGTCAGTCTGGATGCAAAGGACCAGGAAGAGGAAATGTCAGCCCAGGCGACCAGGAAAGAGGTTGGTAGGTAGTGCAGGACCAGGGAAGTTGAGGGAGGTGAGGGTGGGGCCAGTCCCAGAGTGCTCCTGGGGACCATAGAAGGAACTGAGTTGGTCTGGATGCAAAGGATCAGGAAGCAGTGGTGGTTTCCCAGGTGTCTGGGGCACCAAGAGAAGGAATGGGACAGGACCCAGGCTAGGAGGAGAGACCGGTGGGGGAGATGGGAGGGTGAATGAGGCTGGGGTAGTCAAGGCGCGGAGGATGTGTGATCGACTTACTCTGGAGAGAGAGGCCTGTGGGTTGGAGAGAGGCCTGTGGGTCATGCAAGCCCAGGGAAGCAGAGGGAGGTGAGGGCGGTGCCTGGCCCAGAGTGCTCCTGGGAACCTGAGAAGGAACTGAGTTGGTCTGGATGCAAAGGATCAGGAAGCACTGGTGGTTCCACAGTTGCCCCAGAGAGAGGCCTGCTGGTCAGAGAGAGGCCTGTGGGTGGTGCAGGCCCAGGGAAAGTCATATTTTTTTTTTAAATTCACAAATGGATGTAGAATTTTATCAATTTTTTTCAGTACCTGCTGAGATGCTGACCATAGTTCCTTTATTCTTTTCCTATAATAATTTATATCAACTGACTTTTCTGATCTTAAATATTTTTCCTGGAAGAATCTAGTTTTGTTATTGTATAACTTTCCCATTACAGTAAAACAATTGGGGTTTCAGCAGCACATAGCATATATGCATTTATTCCCAGGAATCTTAAGGGAATCTGAGATTTAACCGTTCTAAGTGAGGCAGCTCTGCTTCATTCTGTGGTAGCTCTGGCAGCTCAGCCTGTCACTTCATGAACATGGTTGGGTAGAGGCTCCTATCAGCAGACTAGAAAGTACATGTGCTTCTTCAGACAGGGCAGCATCATCATCAGGAATCCAGTTGAACAGCAATCCAGTACCACGTTCTAATATACTAGCCAAGGACAACATTATACTGCCTTTCTTGTTTGTTGTTTTCTTAAGATTGGCTTTTGATATATAGCTCAGGCTGGCTTGGAATGTGTTATATCACCAAGATTGGTCTTCACCTTGTAATCCTTATGTGGCAGAAATTTTTCTTCAGTCTTTCTAAAAAATATTTTATTTGGGCCGGGCGTGGTGGCACACGCCTTTAATCCCAGCACTCGGGAAGCAGAGGCAGGCAGATCTCTGTGAGTTCAAGGCCAGCCTGGTCTACGTAGTAAGTTCCAGGACAGCTGGGCCTACAGGGAGACCCTGTCTCAAAAAGACCAAAAATTTTTTAAAATTTATTTTTATTTTATGTATATGAGTGTATTGCATGCATGTATGTAAGTGCACCTGTGTCATGCAATACCCATGGAGATCAGAAGAGGGTATTGGATCCCCTGGAACTAGAGTTACAGATGGCTGTTAGCTGCCATATGGGTGCTGGGAATGGAACCTGAGTCCTCTGCAAGAGGAGCCAATGCTCCTAACTGCTGAACCATCTTTCCAGATCTTTTCTTCGTTTTTATACTGCAGGTATGCTCTTTTGTACCTTCAACTTTGAGAAGGGAGATCTCCAGTATGCTTCCCACTTGGGTGAATGCTTGGCTCTGTGTTTTAAAACAGTTAATTTAATTTGTTCTTTGACATTTTCATACACATATAAAATGCATGCTAATTACTTTCACCTCTCACCTCTGTCAATTCCCCTACTACAAATCCCTTTCTCACATTCATGTCTTTTTCTTTTGTGACCCACTGAGTTTAACCAGGGGTCCCTCTATGTGACCATGGGTTTGAAACTATCCATTGGGGTTTGATGGACTCACCAGTGGGTACAGTACTGAAGACAATGACCCCCCCACACTGAATCTTTTAGTAGCCAGTAGTTCATCCTGGAGGAGTAAGGTCCTCCCATGAACTGAATACCTCCTTCATCCATAACTGGATTGCTGTCAGGCCCAGTCTTGTGCATGCCCAGTGCAAGTAATCACAATTTCTGTGAGTTTCAATTGCAGCAGATCTGTCATCCTCAGAAGATGGCGTTGTGCAGCTCTTCTCCTTATCTCCTGTCTCTCACAAGCTTCCTATCCTATTCTTTGAGCTTTAGATGGGGCTGTATAAATGTCTTGTTCAGGGCTGAACGTTCAGCTACCACTTATTCTCAGTACCTTGTGCAGCCATGAGTCTCTGCATTCACCACTGTTCACTCAGGGAGTCTTCTCTTGTTAATGCTGAGAGTAGCATTTGTCTGTGGGTATAAACAGAGAGATTTAGAAGGCAGCTTGATACTATGTCAATTTATCCAAGCAATAGTAATAATTTCCCCAGTAGGGCTTATGACTTTGCAGTCATACATTTTTGACTGGGTTTACAGTACCATGAATGGGTTCCTTCCTGTGGAGCATGCTTCAAATCCAAGAGAGTGGTTGGTTTACCCCCATAACAGTTGTGTCATTATTACACAAGTGGGAACATCTTGCTTAGTGGTTGATATTGAATTTTTTAGGGTTCACAGTTAGGAAAGACTATTGGAACCCACCCCCCAGTCCACACAGAACTTTCCAGCACTGAGAAAGCTAGTGAGTAGAGAGAAATCTTCCAGTTCAGTTGTAGCCTGTTTTCACTGTATCTTGCAACCAAGGTGTGTGGTATCTTCAGCAAGAGTCTTATCATCTAATTCTCGTAAGCAACCATGATTCTAGTTCTTGGCCCCACAGGGCTGGAAGAACCAAAATCGAGGCCATTCAGCATCACAGCTATCTCTCTACAGCAAAAGGTGGCTTCATTTGATTACCTCCGTGATTCTGATCTTACTGAACTTCTATTTCCATTTTTTGTGCTTAAAAATATTTTATTAATTCTTTGATAATTACATACAATTTATTTTGATCATATTTAATCCAACTCCTCCCAGATCCATCTCTACCTCCTTACCTCCAAACTTCATATCCTCTTTTTAAAAAAACTCAATGACCCATCAACTATAATTTGAGCTATCCATATACTTCTGGGGTGTAGGACTATTCACTGGGGTGTGGTCAACCTACCAGGAACTGTACCCATAAAGAAAACTGACTCCCTTCTCCAGAAGCCATCAACTGTCCATAGCCCCTCAGTTAGGGGTGAGGACTCATAAATCCTTTCCTACTCAGTGTTAGAATGCTGACTGTCTTGATTGTATGCGGGTATTGTGTAGGTAGCTACAGCTGCGGTGAGTTCATCAGTCCAGTGGTCCTGTCATGTCTACAAACCAAAGTTTTGCTCCAGTCCTCCCTGACCTCTGACTCTTACAGTCTTTCTGATCCTTCTTCTGCCATGGTCCCTAAGCACTGGGGAGGATGTGTGTTATAGATGTCCCACTTGTAGCTGAGCATTCCACAGTCACTTATTTTCTGCACTGAGGCTTATTTTGAAAGCATGTTTTGAAACCTAATATCAACAATGTGTAATTTCTTTCTTGGCTTCCTTGAACCTTTCTTAAAGCTTCCCTATTTGTTCTGGTATTTTTGGATGTAGAGACTCTTATAAGTGTGCTTCTTTCCAAATGCCAAAACTAGTGTTAAATACATGAAGTGAAGGGAAAAGAAAACACTAGACATAATACAGTAAAAACTCCATGTATTTAAAAGAATGTAGTAGAGTGGCTTGAATATACAGTTTGACTTCCACATCCTTGCATTTTGCACACCTGGATTTGGATCACAAATATCATTATGCCTGCAAAGTAACTGAATAAGTACAGAATTTTTTTCTTGTAATTATTCCCTAAACAATTCAATATAGCAATTATTTTGCTGATAATCTATATTATATTAGGTGTTATTACTAATCTAATAGGGACGGAGGTATAGTTCAGTGGTAGAGCACTTTCCTAGCATTCACAAGGCCATGAGTTTGATCCTTAGAATCACAAACACAAAAAATAATCTAAAGATGATCTAACGTATCTAAGAGGATGTGCATAGGTTCTATGAAAATACTATACCAGTCTATAGCACTATGCCTTTTATATAAGGGACTTGATATCTGCAGATTTTGGTGTCTGTGGAGGGAGAGGGTATCCTGGAACCAGCACCCATCCTTCCATGGATTCCAAAGTATGATATTACAGTATTCTTTTCTTCAGTGTTAGTGAGTGTACAATTATGTATGGAACTCATAAAAGCATTTTTGGAAAATAAGTGGCTTGCATGTCATCAGTACTTGGATGGCTTGTGTTATGTGGAAGAAAGAGAATTATTACCAGAAAGTAGGTGTAAAAAAGAGAAATGATTGATTCACTACTGTTAACCTTGTGCATAAGTCTTTGTAAATGGAGCTAAGTTAAATTTTGCAGGATAATTATCATGAAAGAGAGTTGGAAAAACTCTTCTTGGATATAATTAAGCACAAACTGAAGGCAAATTGCATAGTTTGAAGTCACTCAAGAGTGCCTTAAATTTAACATGAAAGTTTTTCAAAATACTGTTTTCTTATGTGAGGACCTCAAACTAGGTGTGATCAATTTTTTTCAAAAAGTATGTCTTTTATTTTTTATTTTATTATTTTTTAGAAACACTTTATTTTCCATCCACCTTCTTTCCATCGTGCTCAGGTGACTGCAGCACAGCTCACAACCACTCAGTGGTTGTTCCAACCCATTCAGCGGCCTGAGAAGTGTGGGCTTCAGACCAGTCCTCAGTGGCCAGCTGGGCACTCCAATCTTCAGTAGGGAACTGCTGGGTAGATACGGAGGGCACTTGCACGCCTTCAGACCAGTCTGCCACCTCTGGCTGAGCTGCAGTGAACTCAGGAGCTGGTGCAGTCCATTCACCCTGAAATTCCTCCTTGGTCACAGCCTTTTCAGCAGCTGCCTGCTCTTCCTTCTCAATCTCTTCAGGGTCTCTGTAGAAGTAGAGATCAGGCATGACCTCCCATGGGTGCTCACTGGAGATGGTACCACACATGCACAGAACTTCCTGGGCCAGCATCCACCACATCAAACCCACTGAGTGAACTCCCTTATTGTTGCATGGGATGGTGATGTCTACATAGTATGTCTTCTATTTTTGTTATCTGTTAGATCTTTGCTTTTTTTATTTATTTAATAACCACATACTTAGAAGAAGCATTTCACTACATCAGCTTTGACATATTCAATAACAATTTTCCGAGCTAGGCTGCATCTCTTACAAAATTGGCTGTCCATTTTTAGGTTTACAGTTGAATTATTACAGTTATATAATATTGTACTTAGTATAAACCCTATAAGACATAAAATTAAATGAGTTTTAACCTTTAAAACAGATCTCCATTTCATTATTAAAATACAAA